GGAAAGCCGGCATTTTCTGCAGACTGTGGAGCTCCCATGCGCACATGACAGGAGTCAGGGTGCTAGCTCGACTCCGTCCTCCGTCCTCCCTGTGCATGCCTGTCTCGGACTCTGGGATCGATGCTACGGAGAATTACCGGCCCCCGTTCCCATCTCCGATCACGATCGGTTGCTTAATTGCCTGGATTATCGTATCGTGGCCATTATTTCATGGTGTGCACGATCGTCTTGATAACGGAGAAACGCGGACCGGGGCGGATCAACCTGGCGCGCCCGTCACTGGCTAGTGGTGTTGCTGGATTTGGCAACAAGGTTATCGGCTAGGAAGCCTCACCTCCCGTCAGGCGCAGAGCCAAATCCCGGGTGACGGGTTCATGGAGACCTGCAAGAATGCCACCGGGCAGCATGACCCTGCCAGAGGAGAAGAATGGGCTTTTTGGCTCTGTTCCCGACTTCCCGTCCTTCCCGTGGACCGATTGATTCGATGAGGTTGGCTGCTCGCAGGAGTCAAGTTATCAACATGTTGGTACTAGCGCTGTCAACCACCGGCAGGAGGAGAGGATCCATCCACATCGTGGCATGCCAAGTCTAAGTAACCTGTCGATTCCCTCCTCAGTGATCACTGGTCACAGCTACTTGTCCCTAGTTAATGTAGTTAATGATAATAATAATGAGCAAATCTGCCGCTGGGATTCAAAAGTCAACACTGGCTCTCAGGTTAGGCTGCAAGCGAGCCAGCCGGCAATCCGCGGCCTAAACCTGTCCTGGGACACCTTGCTCCGAGGTCAGCACGACGAAGAGTCAGCTGTCGACGCTCGATGGACCACCATCTGGCTGGCGATTTGAAATCGGGGCAAATCTTGGAGCACGTGGCATGGTGGCCGAAGATGCCAATGTTTCTTGACGGACGGCAGGGAGAAAAGAAGTTCAATAGTCATGCCAAAGTTGCCCACTGCACGGAATCACCCCTTTCCGTTTTTAGAACACAGGAGCTTGCTTTTGTAAATCTCGCCCTCAGAGTGTTCGTTTCTCTGTCACTTCGCTCCTACAGCAATGAGAGAGTAATCTATGCTTCCTGATGAAGCAAGGAACTACACAACGTATGTACATACAGCACGGGAGGGTCTTCCAGAGTACTCTGTAGTTAACAGCCCACGAGTGGTATCCTGTACAACTCCGCATGCTAAGTTGCGGATTAACCCCTGGAGCAGTGGTTGCCGTTGGGTCTCGACTTGAGTCGTTGTCTGTCATGATGGATCCTTTCTCCATCAAAGATCAATCGTGGTTGTCTGTGACTCTGTTGTGGTGGCTAAAGGCTAAACCCACCGCTGCCATGCGACAGATGCCTCGGGGCGATTTGCGGACCATGCAGCCATGCACCTGTCTCCTTGGAGTGCTGAGTCCCTGCGCGTCAACGGGACAGCGACGATCATTCCCAAAACGGTCCTAAGCTGGACGATCATGATCCGCTGCCATGTGTCCCTGGCGGTGGGGGCAGGCTGTGGGCATTGAGTGTTAATTGGCATCATGACTTGGCCCGGAGATTCTACAATCAAGCTGCGTTGATCCGGGTACTCACGACGCTGTACTCTGTAGAGTAATTCGTGATCCCAGTTGGGATATCCGGCAGGATGGACAGCCGGGAGCCTAGCCTAGGTCGTGTACCAATCCATTCGATTCGGATCCAGTTGCAGGCGGCCAGCCTCACCAGGAAAGGAGGTCTGGACTTGGGGAAATCACTCAAGTGCTGAAACAACCTTCAGACGCGCTCCTGGAACGCAATGCCATTATTCTCTGTCTGATCGAAGTCCCGACCGTTCTGACAGATTGCCAGCAGGAACACAGTCGCCAGCCGCCGGCGAGTGGATTAGTGAGCCCAAGGCCTGGCCGCCTGGCGAGCCTGATTAACTAACTAGGACTAGGGCATTAGTAATAGTCTGGTGGGGCCAAAGTGAACTTCCTGCCGGGAGCACAAGGACGCGGGCTCTGCTTGCGTGCTTGTGCTCTCTGTACGCCGTACACTGGACTTGTGCGCCGTTTTTCCCGTGCTCCAGCCCAAGAACCAACTGTCACCAGCGGGATTCCCTTGCCAGAGGTTGACCACGCGTATTCTGCAGAGAAGACAGGTTTGTTTTCCATGCATCGAAGATCGACGACGAAAGCGTACAAGGTGCAACGTTCTGACTGCGGTTTCCTGGCTCCTCTGTGCTGTCTCCAGGCACTGTGGCCCGGAGGTGCGCAGCGTCTGTCCGCACGGAAGGAATGCCGCGGTCCCCGGCGGATGAGTGCAGTCAGGTGGGCAGCGGCAAGGCCCAGGTGACCGCCGGTTTCTCCGTGGCCATTGGCCCACCGCCCCCCAATAGTGCCTGCTGGCTCCACCGCCCTTATCTCCCCGTGCAGCGTTAAGGTTGACTTTTCCACAGTCGACGAGGCAGGCACGGCGCACAAGGACAGCAGCAGTCCACTGAAGAACCGCGTTCGCTGTCGCACAATGCAAGCTTTCATTAGCGCTCTCTAGCTGCTTGCCATATCCGGCGACCTCTCTGAGACTGGCAACGCTAGGGCATGCCTGGATTCCGGTGCGCTCTGCACGACTCGATCTTTGCATTGTATCCGCTGCACTCACGGTACGGAGTACACGAGCACCCATCGCATAATTCTGGGCATGGGATCGACTGGCAGCCTGGTAGGCCTGTCAAGAGATCGTTGGGGTGGATGGAGACGTGCCGCCTTTCCCGCCGTCCTGGCTCAGCTCTCGCACATCGTCGTTTATTGCTCTCATAGTCTTCCCGTAGCCCCGCACCCTTGTCTTGCGTGATATGATCCATCACCAGCCATCCAGCGCCAGACCCCGAGACTCCACAGATCGATCAACTCACCGCAGCGCTACCCGCGATGCCAACGTATCCTACCATTACGATTCCAATTACATGATAAGCATTATTACAATTGGATTTAAATGAGCAAGCTGGCAAGTTTTCCTTCTGTAATAATCGTGTGGAATGAGGAGATTAGTCAATCTGCATTCTTTATTCTTACCCATGTCGGAATTGGCCCCCCACACCAACATCTCGCTTCCATGCGACCCTTCCAATTAGCTCCGGGGAGATCCCCGGGGAGGCAGCAGTGATCGTCCGATTAGCACACTCTTGTCCACACTGTCGGGTCGTGCGCATCTTCCCCCTCATCTCTCTGTGAAATCCATTAACTTTAATGCGTGACGGGAGGTGCTGTGCCCTGCTCTGTTTGGCCAATTCTCGTTGTGACTTAAATCCATCTTATCTATATTAGGCATGACGTAGAATCCACTAACGATGATGGTGATGATGATAGTCTCAAAGAAAAAAAAGGAGGCGCCGGTACCAGTGATAAGGTAGCAAAATCGATTTGTCCTGTCGAATCTAAGTCCGCAAACTACAGTTCATGCAGTTGATCGATCTATCGTAGATAATAGACATTGTTTCTGTAGAGACTTAAAAAAAAAAGAAAAGAAAAAAAGAAAGAAGCAATGCAACTTGGTGTGAAGTGTGGAGCCATGAGGTATCGCTCTGTATACCACATCTATCGTACCAACTCAATGGGGCCAAAATACCCTGATCACTTGCAGTTCATCGATCTCAGCTTCAGTCAGACTCTTCTTGTCTTAGGCATCCTATGCGTCTCTCGGTTCAGATTCTGAACAACCCTAATACTACTCTCTGTGGTGTAACGTCGTTTTGGTTTCTTTTTTTTTCCTTCTTTCGGTCGGAGGTTGGTTCTTGGGTTGCTATCTACTAGTACCTTACACTGTGCGAAACGACTACGAGGATACCATATTTTGTCAACCAGCATACCATACTAGAAAGGGGTTTAAACCATGGATCTCATAATGCTTGTCTCTTTGAACCTAGTTTGTTCTTTTCATCATCCAATACGTCGTCAATGGCAGTTTCGGATCAGAGATGGAGACATAATTTAAAAAGGAAAAAAGATTTTACACATGGAGAGAAGAGTATAATGTAAAATAAGACAGCATCAGAAAGAAGAAGAGAGAAAAAAACATAGCAGGAACAGTGCCCCAAAAACGTCATCGTTATGAAAGCCCTCTACTGAGTCCTGGCTGTCCCCTCCCACAATGTCCTCCAGCAAGACAAGAAAAGCAGTAATACCTGACGCCAACCGAGAAACACTCAAACATGAAAAACTCCAGACCAACGGATATCGAAACTCAATACACATCTCCATTAACAAGACACCCTCTTTTATTTAACGACGCCTCTTAATCCGATGTTCTTTGCCCCTTTTCGATTTCTTCTTGCTCTTGTCGGGCGGAATTTGCAGTGGCTCGTCCCTCAGATTCCACTCCATAAACCGTAGGAGATAGTCATCGATATGGCCTGGCTGCGGTTCGTCATCGTCCACACCCGTGATGGGCCCTGGCGTGCCATCGTCCCCAGGACCAGTTGTCGGGGTGTCGACCTGGTTCGGACCCAGGTGGGCTGGTGTGCCACGGGAGACACTACGTTCTTCAAAGTCGCCATCATCCGCGTGTTCGAGTTCCTTTTGGGCATTCTTGGCCGCATCAATGTCTTCTTTATCCTCCACCTGCTCAAATGCGCGAGCGGCCCCGCTGCCTTGGCTGTCAAGCACTCGATCCATCGCCTTGCTGGCCTCATCTCGTCCCGCCAGCACATCTTCCCCAATCATGTCACGAACGTCCAGCTTGGTAAAGTAGTCCGTGGTGAACTCTCCCTCCTGGATGACAACGTCGTCCAGCATCCTCTTCTGGTTAGCCTTGCGCAGGATATTGGACTCGATGGTATACTCCGATACAAAGCGGTAGATGTGAACATCACGGGTCTGGCCGATCCGATGACATCGGTCCTGACACTGCTTGTCCATCGCCGGGTTCCAGTCGAGATCGTAGAATATGACCGTGTCCGCGCCCGTCAGATTGATTCCCAGCCCGCCGGATCGAGTAGACAAGATGAAGGCAAGAATGCGGTTGTCATTGTTGAACCGTTCTGTGAGCATCTGTCGCTGTTCAACCTTGGTAGTACCGTCAAGCCGGAGATAGCGATGTCCGTGAATGTTCAGAAATTGCTCCAAGATATCGAGCATTTTCGTCATTTGAGTAAATATCAGTGCCCGATGACCGCCCGCCTGGAGCTCCCGAAGGAGTTTGTCCAGTCTCTGCAGTTTACCGCAGTCATACTGCAACAGTCTTTTATCCGGGAAAGCAATGGACAAACGCATTTGGGCTTCGTGGAAAGGCTCGTATGGAGGGTTCCTTTGCTCCTCGCTGAAATACCGTGACTCAAGAGGTGTGAGTGCGGCCTCGGTGATTCCAGCAGCGGTTGCCGCTGGAGTAACGCAAGCGAATCTTTGGATGTAGCCTTCCATCTGCCGGGCTCTATCTTCTATCGATAGGATCATGGACGCGAGAACCGACGATCGGCTTGACAACCACTCGGCCATAGACCGTTGCCGTGAAGGACGACTTGACAATCCACTCTGCACGGTGTCGATAGTGAGGAATTCGATCAGACTTTTACCATAGACAGGACGACGCCCATGACGTTTTGACTCAAAGTACAAGCAACTCTCCAGTTCGTCCATTCTCTTCTTCCTCGCAGCATTCTCCATGGAGTTCAAGGCGGATTGCACGGTTGAACCGTCGAATTCCATCCGCCAATTCGTGCGCTTATACTGACGTTCGCGCAGCGTCTTCAAGGGTCCAAAGGCCATGATTCGACTGGTGTCTTCCACAAGCCTTCGAGACAGGTCTTCCCTCGACACCGGGGCGAGATTGAGGAAGTCCAGGTCAAGCTTCTCAAAAGGATGCTGGTACAGGAGGCGTCGCCGAACAAGGCGCTCTTTGACCGCATATTCCGTCGCCACAGACTGAGGCATGGCGAACGACGTCGAGATTGGGCGAGTTTCGAACAGATCGGGATGATTGCAGACTTTGCGGAGCTGCATCAAACAGTTGATGATGGAGAGATAATTCCCAGAGGCCAACGTCTCCTTTGTTTGTGCTCGCGACATGAAGCCATCGTAGAGGTAACGCTGACGCTTCGACAGTCTACAGTAGACAACATGCTCGTACTTGGCTGGCATCTGCTTCTCAACATCTGCTTTGAGCCGCCTAAGCAGATATGGCCGCAGAACTGTATGGAGCTTGTTGACAACTTGTTTCGCCTCCTCATCCATCGTCTCCCTGCCCTGTTCCAAAATCTGCTCCACCGGCCGTCGAAACCATTCGGAAAAGTTCCTGAGGTCAGCAAATCCTTCGACACCTGTCTCCTCGCCGTCCGAAGGCATCAGGAAAAAGAGAAGCGACCATAGTTCCGTCAAGTTGTTCTGGAGGGGAGTGCCGGTGAGTAAGAGCCGAGCTCTTGTTTTGAAAGTCAAGAGAGCCTGCCATCTCTGAGAACGGAAATTTTTGATGTTGTGGGCCTCATCGAGGACCATATAATGCCAGTTCCTCCTTTTGAGCACTTGTTGATCCTGCAACACTAACTGATAAGATGTGATCAAGACGTCCCAGCTACTGTCGTCCGTCCAGCCCTTCCGCTTCTGTCTCCTCTCTTCCTGATTTCCATAATATGTCATTATCTTGAAGCCCGGGCACCACTTCTTAAATTCCATTTCCCAGTTGAGGATGACGCTGGTAGGCACGACCACTAAATGTGGACCCCAGACCTCGTGTTCGACCGCCAAATGCGCTAGAAGGGCTATTGTTTGAATGGTCTTTCCCAGACCCATCTCATCGGCAAGGATACCATTGATGCGATTAGTATAGAGACCTGCCAACCAATCCAAACCATAGTGTTGGTATTCGCGTAACTTCCCGCGAAGTAAATGCGGAATGGGTGTCTTGAGACCAACAGGGGCAGGAGGATCTGTGGACTCGCTTGGTTTCTCCACCGGAGCTTCGTACGAGGAGATCGATTCTGGGTCGGAGGGCTTTGTCGCAACGGTGCCTGGTGACGCTTGACTAGATTCATCTCTGCTTTGTCGTGAGTCCGGTGGGATTTCAGCAGTATCCTCCACTACCGCATCTCCCGCCCGCGACGGTGGCCTTTCAACGCCTACATCTTCTTCACGAGGATCGGTCTGTTCGACATGTTCGGTTTCCTCGGTCTGCTCAGGCGGGCCAGTTGGCACCAGGGAAACTTCATCTTGGTCTTCAGGTTCTTCCTCCTCGTCATCAACGGTTCCAAGGAGGGCATCCTTCGAAGAGTAGAAGCCCAATAGGCCGGGACCATCGTCACTGCCTTCACTAGTGTCCTCTTCACTGGAGTCTCTGTCCTCATCGCTTTCGCCCATATCGTCATCCATGTCTGTGGACTCATCGCTGTCGTCCAGAAGAATCGGATCAACTTCATCCAGTTCAACGTGCCCGGGGGACATGCCTGCAGACGGGTTTTGTGACGCGGGCTCATCCTCGGCGAAATTTTCTGCGGGTGGCGATGCGCTGTGAGTGGAGGATGACGAGGAAGTCACGGACATACGATCCTGTCCAAAATCAGTCTCCGGAAGATTTGCGTACTTCAGGCGGAGTTCTTCGACGGTCAAGGCTGCGTCGTCATCAACACCGTCATCGCTCTCGCTTTCGGTATCAGTGGTTGACATGTTGCTGTCATCTTCATCAGAAGAGACAGAGGATACATCGTCTTCCTCGACATCTTCGCTGGAATCGTCAGCATCGCTTTCAATTTCGCCAAGAATTTCCTGTCTTCTCTTCTCAAAGAGCATTGTTGATTGCCTGATTGCACGATCCAGGGCCTGCTGATCTTCTGCCTTCCGTTCCTCTTCCCAGCGTGCCAGACGGATCCTCTCGACTTCTGCTCGAACGAGATCGAACTGTTTCTGGAGGTCTTTGACTACTTGGCGGTGCTTGTTTTTGAGTTCTTCCTGCTGTTCTCTAAGGATGTCTTCCGGGCGCTTATTCCGCTTTCTCCACGCCTCGGCACACCACTGAGCGAACAGTCGGGCCATATTGCGATGACGCTTGTGCTCCTGATCCAGAAGCTTACGGAAATATAGAGCATGGGCGACAAGGTGATCTTGGTGAGAATATTGCTGTGGCGGCTCATCTTGTGGATCTGGAAGACAAGCAGAACAGACCTGCGGAGTGAGCAGGCCGCCAGGTTTTCCGGCCTCCAGAACTCTGAGTCGTCTTGCAGCTTCTTCTCGAGCATCTTCGGGTGTAAGGTAAACGGACTCCCCCGTTATCGCATCGTTGCTTTCAACCCATTCTCGGAATGACGCATGTTTCCTTGGAGGCAGAACGTGGGCGGGGTGCTGAATACCAATCGACGGCTTCTTCAGCTTAAACCGTAGCCGTGGCAATTTCTGACCTCCAGATACATCCTGCCATTCCTCGCCATCGACGACTTTGACATTTTCGTATCCATCGACATCCTGGTCAGCGGAGGGCGATGCATTTGTCGACATGGAAGCATTGCGACGGCCGTCCCTTGGGCTGGAACCATTTACCGCTGCACCAGCTGTGAGAGAGCGTGTGGTTGGATTGACCGAACTTTGCGACCTCGTGCGCGTATTGGTAGATTTTGTCGCAGCTAACGGTGTAGCATGGTTTACGCTGCTAGCCGACAATCTTGAACTGGATTTTCTCGGAGACTCTCTTTTTGGAGAATTAGTTACAGTGCCATTTGTCGTAGCTTTGCCACTAAGAGACCTCCTTCCACTTGTCTCTGATCGCGACGGGGTAGACGAAAGTGGCGATGACGCCTGCTGCGCCTGACGAGTGGAAAGGGTCTTGCTCATATACTCCTTCTGAGCTGCTCGCGTTTGCCTCTTCTCGGAGGGCCGCTGCAACTCAAGAGGGAGCCCATTTGTCCTCGCTGATTTGCGTCGGCCATCTTCGTAGAAGGATGTCGGTCCATCAACACCAGGGTTCTTCCACGGCGGCGAGGCTGGCCGAGGTGTCGAGCGTCGGGAAGTACTGGACTCGGCGAGTCTTCGCTTTTTGGGCGGAGGCCCTTCATGGTGGCCATTTATAGTTCCATCGTCGTTTTGTGCACCGGGTGTCTGGTCGACTTTCGTGAAATCGCTGAGAGACTCTGCATGGGACGAAGCGCGAAGTTTGTCGTCGCGTTCAGGTGTCACGCGTTCATGATGTTGTGAAGTGCCGTTCGGAGTACCGTTTTGCATGTCTTGTTACTAGGGGCGACAGGGGCCTTCTTTACAGCTGACCCCAACTTTCCCAGCACAGACGCAAGTATCACGGGTGATTCACACATCAATCAATAGGTCAGATTGAGCAGAAATACCACCAGGAGTTTGGCATAGTTATCAGCACTGGTGCGTGACTGACGACGAGACAAAGTGCTGAGATCCGGTATTGCGTGAAGAGGTTGATTTTTGCTTCGGGCAACGCAATTTCCTCCCGTGACAGGAAGAAGCCCGCTTATGTAAGCGCGCCCAGATCCCTTGCCTGACAGCCTGAGGCTTGCATCGCGCTAGCTACGGCGACCCGAGCCACTCAGCCATTCCCAAACTTCCGACTTCAGTACGAGACCAGCCAGGAGCTTCTTAAGACTTTTCCTCAGCCCTCGTTTTTCCAATTGACTTCGGTGGAACGGTAAGTTCCTATTGTGACGACTGATTCGTTCTATGAGAATTGACTCAGGCTTTCTCAGATGTTGTCCCGCCGGATCCTAACCGGGCGCCTGCCCCAGGCTGCGTCTCGCTATGCGTTTCCCCGCGCATCCTTTTCTCAAGTTCGGTCTCTTGCGCAGGCTGAAGTCGACGATCCTCTTCAGGTATCATCTTTGTGGCGGTAGTTTGTTACAAGAATACCTAACTAACCCCGTGCCTGCACCCTCGCAGAATGGCAACTACCCAAACCCCCCGGCGATCAAGCGTCAATTCCGAGACCCGAACGCCGACTGGTGGGATAAGCAGGAAAGACGTAACTTCGGGGAGCCTGTTCATGAAGACAACGATATCCTGGGTGTATTCAGTCCGGAACCGTATACCCATGTCACTCCTGGCAAGGCATTCTTGTCAATTGGAACCTTTGTCGCTACGTTCTTGGGTCTCTGTGGGGTGGTGAGCTTGCTCTATCCAGACAAACCAAGTGCTCCCCGGACCTTCCCAGATGGGCTCGAGAAGGAACTAGGTGGCCCAAATGCTGTGCGGGTGAGTTTCAATTGCGTTCAAATAAATTCTTCAAATCATTTCCCTCTCCGCCCGTGCACGAAGCTGACGTATCACGTAGGCACGCAAACCTGGCGAGGAAAGTTGGTGAAGACACTCTTGTCTATTGAATGTGTATATAAAGTGGCTTTTTCTACATCGGCGTCAATGAAGGGTTCGATTCTCAATTTCTTTTACATCCGATGCTTGAATGTCTCTGCGTCGAGCTGTTATTCCAGAGTGGCGAAGCTACCATGTCCAATTGCCTAATTGTGCGAGTCCATCCTTCACTGCGGCGACAGGAAAAAACTCCATGGCAAGGGCACATCGATAATGGCTTTGGATCCGAATGGCAGCTGGTACTTTGTATTTCTAAACTATGACGCGTAGTCCGTCTGGAAGCTCAGCCACTACTTTTTCTTCCACTCTTACTCCGCATCCTCAATCTTCTTAAAGAGTGTGCAATGCTGGCGGTTGATAGTCGGTAGCGTGTACGGAGTACCTAGGTAGATTCTGCTAAAAGCGGATGGCCAATCATTGGTTGACTCGATAACACGTAGACCTCACTCTCTTCGCGTCTGGGATGCAGCCAACAGATCGCCGAATTTTGCAAACCTCAAATTGACCGCATTACGTCAAGCCTTAATTGCTGCTAGGATGTCAGCAAACTAAGTAGGTATTATTGATTCGTCGAGACTCCCTTGCAGTGTGATGCCTCGTGACGCTGCTTAGTGCGTCTCCATTAGCACGTCAGTCTAATTAAGAGGCCAATGTTTCAGGAGCGTCAAACACCCCTCTTCTTACAAGGTGGCAATCAGTTCCAAACAACCATCAGTCCTCACATCTGCAAATTTGGGGACTAGAATTCTTCTCATAACGACTCTTCTTTCTTATAACAAAAACAAATTCGCCGCGTGGCTCGTCTTGTTTCCGTCGTGTTTGCGAGTTTTGGAATCAATCCATGGTCCCGCACTCCGCATTACTCTCTCACTTCGAAGCCGTTGCGTCCTGGATTAAGAAAGCAGACGACCCTTGAACCCCATGTCGGCATCATCCGCTCATTCCCGTGGTGTGAACCGACGGGTCAACAGCCTTCAAAATGAGGCCCGGCACTCACGCAGCCTTTCCGCCTCTCGAAGGCGTCTCGTCACTCCGAACGATGCCTACAATTATGCGCTTCGTGTAGCTTACCTGTCCTACCTGCTCCAGCCTCGAGCCCGCCGCACACAGCCTACACCGGCACCACAGGGTCATGTCCGTCGATCATCAACGTCTTTTCACGACCTGATGAGCGATTTCCGCTTGATCAGGGACTCCAAAAGCACACGATTTCCCAATGGGTTCATCGCCGAGCTGGAGAAGAGACTGACGGGTATTCTGATGGGGAAAGAGAAGAGAAAAGAATACCAGGATCACTTGGTCATTAGGACGTTTGCGGCCTTCCTTAATTCTTTGAAGGAGCAGTCATTTAAGAAGCGAATGGAAAAGGATCGGCGGGTGGAAGACCTAGTCTTGATTTTCTTCTCGAACGCCACCAAAGAGCTATCGAAAGGCAAAGATCCCAGTGACGATAGCTGGAGTCTGATGGTAGATAGACATGTCGCGCTCTTCGTTCGCCTGATTACGCTCATTCTAAAAGATAATGACTGGGCGAAAGAGAGGCCTGAGTTGATGAGTCGGCTGGCGGTCTTGGAAAGCAAGTTGCTCGTTCACGATCAAGACCTCGCAGAAACGAACGGATTGTCAAAAGCGACGGTCGAGACAGTTGTCCCATTGAGTTATGATGTCAAGGACATGCCACTCGTACAAGTTGTGGCCCGAATATTCGGAATAAGCACAGCTCAAGCACAAGCTGATATCAACAAGAACAAGGCCATCTGGACAGAAAAGGCGGCTCTTCAAGACCTGAAAGCCTACCAGGCACACTTGAACCTGAAAACTGGGAAGACCTTGTCCAGTGACGATTTCGAAGATGAAGAAGCGTATGAATCCTGGAAACGTGGCGAGGGGCCTGATCTTTCACAGATGATGCTCGCTATTGTACAAGCCAACCCTGAACTTGCAAAAAGCACGCCAGGGGATGCGCTGCCACAATTCAATTCTGCCGCCGACGCTAACTTTGCCGATCTATCGCGTCAATCTTCTGAAAGATCCAACCGCACGTCGTACGTCATCGATCAACCGGTGGACCTAAGCGCTTTGTCTCTGAATGATGGTGTCGACATGTCAGAGAGTGTCTACACGTTTATTCCCCCGGATCCTAGATCCTTCTATCGAGCCATACTTTCTCATGCCCTCACTTATGATCTCAAGGATCAAAAGCTGGAAGCTACGGAAGCAACCTCTGAAGCTCCATCCATGAAACTACTCTCGAAACAGTCGACGGAGCTTCTCAATGAGATTGCTCTCCGTTGGCGTATTCCGGCGTCTTCTCGTGCGGTTCTGTTTTTGGATGTCATCCGCGAGAAATTTGTAGATCAAGAAATTGATCTGAACACTCTCGATGCAGCATTCACATTTATCAAAGACGCGCCAATGAACGAAGGCAAGAAGCGCAGCAGCTTTATACCCTCTGTTATGTTCGATAGGAAACGATGGACAATCCATGATATAATGCTGATGCAGCAGTTGCTATCTGCGCTTCATGATGCTCTCCTACGAGAGCTGTATGATGTTATGATGCACTGTTACGACTCGAAGCCTCATCCAATTGGCCCAGTCATGTATATTTTGGACCATCATATACGACAGGATCCCCACTATACAGAAAACGCTGAAGATTACGATCGCTTTCGGACCTATGTCAATGAGGGACTTGTAGAAAGAGCAAAAGAGTCGTATCAACAGTTACTCGACAAGGAAGTGCCGGCTGAGCAGGAAGCCTGGGAACCATTCCACGTTATCCAACTCGGCGAGGGGATCATGAAGCTGTCGCAAAAGATCCAGAAACGCTACAGAAATAATCCCGAAATAATGGGGTATGAGAAATCTTTCACTTCGCTACTTGATGTCTGTCGCTAACGGCAACAGGGTGAATCCATTAAATATTCTGCACAGCTGCGTGCTTCCCATGTATGCTGAGGATGCCCACGATATGGTTGTCAAAATCCTTCGGCAGGCGCAAGAAAGGGGAACCGAAATTCCGATAGAGGATGGTTTTGATCTTTACCGAGGACTTACGGCAATCAGGCGTCTCTATGCAGATGCCCTTCCTGGGTATGATATGGATTGGACCTTTCTGACTAGAGCGTGGCTAACATCCCATCGCAGACAACCCTTTCCATTCCGCATAGAGGATTTACTTGCGGACTTTGTTTGGCGGTGGATCCGGCTCACGGACGATAAAGTCTTGGAATGGGTTGAACAAGCTGTGCGACAAGATTCATTTACCGTACGGAGTGAAAATCCGAACGACCCCCCGGCTGATGAGTTACGGCATAGTGTGTCCGTTATTGATATTTTCCGTTCATTCAATCAAGTTGTTGAACAATTGGTGCAGCTGGAGTGGGACGATGATTTGCAATACGCTAAATTCATGACTGCTCTCTCCAAGTCCATAGGCAGAGGTGTGGCAAGGTATTGTGAATTGCTTGAGCAATCTTTTGCCAAAGAGATGGACCGGCTCTCGCCTGATCAAGAAGCGGCATTGTATCAGACGAGACAAGAGAAATTTATGCAAATGGCTAGAGATGCCTGGAACAGCAAGGAAAAGATCGAGCCGTTCCAATTCCTTCCAGAGGTATGTCCGACCTGAATATCTCCCTTAATAACACTCCCATCTGACTTGAACTTAGTCACTTGTGAAATTAAATGACATTGAACACGCCCTTTCTGAACTCGACAAGCTCGAACGTGAAATAAATGTGGATGGTTGTGCGGACGTGATTGCAAAACACAGCCCTCCGGCAACCCAGAAGGCACGGAAAACCACGACTTACGTGTTCACGATCAAGATTGTCGAGGGGGAGGATCTGAAAGCGTGCGATATGAATGGCAGCAGCGATCCATATGTCGTGTTGACAGACGAGTACCAGAAACGCATATCGAAGACTCATGTCGTATACAACAATCTGAATCCTCGGTGGGATGACAGTGTCGATATCACAACCAAGGGTCCTCTTAATATCATCGCCACGGTCTGGGATTGGGATGCTTTAGGTGATCATGACTATGTAGGCCGAACGTCACTCAAGTTGGACCCAGCCCATTTTGGAGACTTTCTGCCGAGGGAATTTTGGCTGGATCTGGATACGCAAGGGAGAATCCTTCTGCGTGTGAGCATGGAAGGCGAACGAGATGACATACAATTTTATTTCGGTAAAGCTTTTCGGACCCTGAAGCGAACTGAGAAGGAGATGACTCGCAAGATTACGGAAAAGGTTCGTCGTTCTTTGGCTACATTGAACGTTGATCAAATTACTGACTTGAAGACCAGTTATCTGCATATATCAGCCATTGCCTTTCTCGTCGTGCTCTGAAGGCCTTGCTGTCCCGGGGAATTAGCATTTCTAGCGTTTCAAGCTTCCTGAATCGAAACCGGGCTCAATCCACAACCGTCGCGCCCACCCAGGCAGAAATCGAGAACGCCCTGAGTCCACTCTTCACATATTTCAATGACAATTTCGCAATCATGAACAAGACTCTTACGTCTGAAGCAATGAAGATGGTTATGGCGCGGTTGTGGAAAGAAGTGTTAGTTACTATCGAAAGCTTGCTTGTTCCTCCTCTGTCGGACAAGCCATCACATCAGAAGCCTCTCACTATGCAAGAAGTCGACATTGTCTCACGCTGGCTCGTCCTCCTTCTAAATTTTTTCCATGCTGTTGATGAAGAGACGGGCGAGGCAAATGGAGTTCCGTTGGACATCTTGAAGTCGCCAAAGTATCATGATATTCAGTCTCTTAACTTTTTCTATTTCGAACCTACAGAGAATCTCATTCGGACCTCTGAGCGCATGGCCTCTGCCACGGTCATGAGGCAGCAAGCAAACAAAAACAGACAATCGGCTCCACCAGGGCAGGGCCCTTTTGGCGGTTCAGGAATTATGGGTGTTCCTACACGGCGTGCCAAAAGCATTATGCTTTCGCGCAATCTGGGCACAATGAAGAAGGCCAAGGAGGAAAAGTGGCGTGAAGCGCAAGCAGAGCCCAATGATGACATGATCCTTCGCATCCTCAGAATGCGGCCAGAGGCTGCCAGCTATCTTCGTGACCGCAGTCGACAGAAAGAAAGACTGGCTGCAGCTGCGGCCGCAGATGCCATAGTGAAACAGAGTCTCATGGCAAGTGGGGGAGGGAGGATGACAGCTACGCTCGGGAGAAGATGAAATTAGTTGTCTACATGGACTGTCGAGACTTAGCCAGGTGTTTCATTCCTCGACACTTGGCATCTTCTTTTCCCCTTGTCCTTTTTCCGTTCTCGGTCTTTCTGTTTTTATCTTTTGGACCCTGTCTTTGTTTTTAGCCTTATACCCACGATGATTGCCTTGAGTTTTTGATTTAGATATGATTCATGATTGATGTTTTTGTCTTCGGAAAATCGAGCCATGACATTCCAGTTATCATCCTTGTTCAATTGACTCAATTCGGTGCACTATCATGGTTTTCCTAGTTTGGCTTCGCTGTCCTCGTCCTCGACTTAATCAAGGACGTTGTTCGTTATGTCATGGTGACACCGGCTTTCAGTTAATCTAGACAGAGAAGCAGTGACTAGTTGCGTAGTAATAATATTAATAATAATAATCAAATCCAACCACGAGTTGAGACGATCAGTTCGGCTACAACTACATTCTGTCCTTACGTCTTGGGAAATCTAGAACTTAATGGAAGCACATAGCCAGTGCATGTTTGTAATACCTCATTTAGATGAAAATTTTTTTTGTAAAAAAGAATACATATCAATCACTTATACTCTTTCCGATCCATCGATCACTGCAGAGCAACAACCTCGATCTCGACGGGAACACCCTTGGGCAGCTGGTACACGGCCACACAGCTGCGAGCGGGCTTGTGCGTGAAGTACTTCTCGTACACCTCGTTCATGGCGGCAAAGTTGGCCATGTCTGTGAGAAAGACCTGCTCTCATCGAACACCCATCAGTCATCAGCCATTCAGTAGCTCTCTCAGGAGGGATAGTTTTATAAAAGTTGGTATATATATATAGATAGATAGATAGATATACTAACAGTCACTTTCACGACTTTCGAGAGGCTGGAACCCGCCCCCTCGAGAACGGCAGCAACATTCTTGATGCAGGCGGCCGTCTTCTCACCGATAGTCCCTTCGATCAGGTTACCTGCGCTGTCCGCGGGGATCTGGCCGGAAACGAAGATCTGGCCATTTGCCTTGATAGCTTGGCTCTGGAATGTATATTATTGTGAGCGAGCGATCCAACTGACGATTGGCGATTGAACAGATTGGCATGGGACCAATTGAGAGCAGGAGCAGGAGGAGAAGGGACGGATGGAATGGGTGTCACCGTACGTATGGGCCAGCAGCTGTTTTGTCACATCACGATGTTTGTCAGCAAGATCTCTGCAGATATATACATATATTATGTACCATTACGGCGGCAAATGGATGGTGCAAATTGTGGTGTCTCAAAGGAATGAGTCTCGGACGACAGAAGATCATTACTTACGAGGAGCAGCCTCCTTGGAAAAGACAGGAGTCATTTCAGCCATGGCGCGAATAGGAGGAGATCTGAATCCTATCGACGACGGTGAAGAAGAAGAAAAGCGGGGAACGACGACGAGAGGGGCAGAGGAAGACGGAAATGCGACGAGACGAGCGGAAGAGATTCGGCTGGATTGAAGACGGAACGAGTTGATACCGCTTCGCAGCATCAAGTAAGTAGTAAATTGCCGTGGGAATGAAGTAGTCCAGTGTTAATTATTTATTCGAACTTCTATCACACGGGTAACTCCCAAGCTTCCCGCGGGGCGGATGGAGTCCGACTACCCCTCCGCGGCTTAAATCGGAGAAATTCAGTCCATCCCCATCCAAAATGCTTAATACTGCGGACAATATGCCAATGGCCCATACTAGTTCGCCTTAAAAAGACTCAATAATCTGTAAATCAAACTTAGGAACGATTCATCAATTGATAGAACGTCGTGTCAAACGCCTACTTGGTATGGCGTCAAGATTACAACATTCATAATTCATGATGGAGCCGTGACTATAGACTAGCGCCAAAATTCAAAAGGTCATTTCTCATAACACATTAAGTGCGCTCAGCCCCCTAGGCCGTGAGACTCGTAGTAGAGGTTTCCAGTTCCTACGTATATATATCCTCGATGAGGTTGGTTCAATTGACCACACCGTGGCTTGCTAGCTGCTGCATCAATGTGGCAGCCTGCTCAGCCGAATAACCAAAGAACACCGGGCCATTGAACACCATCTTCGCAGAAGAAGATGACGAAGGTTTCGGTGCTTCAAGGGATGGTGGACGATCTCCAGGATCTGGATTCCTGGACGTGCCACCCTCATTACTTTGTTTGCGCTCTGAATCGGGAAACGACGGACTTCCATCCGGACCCTGATCTGGTCGCCGTGAAGCTTTGTGATCAAACGGACACCTCCCAGGCGCCCGCGCTGGAGGAGGTGAAGCACCTTGAGGCGGTACAGAAGTTACATCACTCTCCATCGGCTCTTTATTTCAGGTGAGCCGTTGGACGCGTGACCAGGAACAGCAGCAACTGGGCTATTGACAGCGCTTGGAGGAGGCTGATGGGAGATGGGTACAGGAATACCCCAAGGCCGACTTGGGGATTCACCAACTCGGATCTCGCGGAGTGGTCTTTCGAAGCGACTTGTTCGATCGCCCCGTTCCTCCGCTGTATCCTCTTCGACGGGGGTCAATGACCCCGGATGCGGGGATTTTGAACTAACATCTTCTGCCCACTTTTCGACACGCTCAGCCGATGTGGAGCTGGTATCAGGCGCACCGTTTGGCACATGATTCGACAAGAAAGGTTTATGTTTCTTGCCAAGGCCTTGAATCATGTCGACCAAGCTATTACCATATTTGGCATCAATCTGTCGCATGGTGCTCACGTCTTTCTGATACCGCTTGATACAGACTGCGTGACTTCGAGGAATCTCATGTTTGTGATTCTCGAAAAACTGAGCAACTTCTTCCGGAGAGTGCTGGCCAAGATACCTGATAGGACAACGGGCCACCGACGATCTACTTGAGATGCCAGTGCTGGAAACTCGATCTTGGCTGAACTCAGCCTTGATAGGATCATATTCACACGTACTATTTGCCTGGTTATTGCGATCATCGCGAGTCCCACTGGTGGACTCTTGTTTGTCGGCAGTTTTGGCGAAAGGACACTGTAGGCTTCCTCGGACGCCATTGGTAGTGAAGTCCCGCTCAAGAGCAGACGACCTGCTGGCATTCGCTGCGACAAGACATGGATTAGATCTGACATCAAGGCCATTACCATTCCGTAGTTCTGTTATAGTTTTCGCACACTTCACTCCGGCTGTTATGGCATCAAGCATTCCGCCTTCGACATGTCCAGAATCTCGAAGTTGATTGACAACATCGAGGGGATTCAATGAAGAATCCAATCTGGAGCTCGATTCGGAGTCACCATAGAGGATTTTCTGAGAAATAGCATCCTCATCAGAAGTGGAACCACCGTTGACACGGTTGGCCAACTTCACGTACTGTTGGCAAACTTTTGAGTTAGCCGGCTTTCTTTCAAGGGTCATCGTGCAAGGATTGTATAAATCAGTAGATAACATCTCATCAGCTAATACATGCTTATACGTCACCGCCGCAATTGCGACTCCCGATCTAGAGCTAATCATATATTTTTTCTCATCTTTTGAGATATAAGGAAAGGCAAGGGGGAAAACAAGATAACAACTACCATACCTCATCATGAGCATACTTGACCCTCCGTTGCAGGTCCTGTTCTTTCAAGCTCAGCTGTTGGGCAGTTAGCAGGAGAGCATCCAAGGCTCTAGCCAACGTCTGGAGCTGCTGGTCCTGCTCCGTGGGCTCAAGGACTCGAGCAGGAGACATGATGCATTGTGACCCGAGTGTCACAGGGCCAAAGTAATAATATAGGCATCGAGGCTGCGCATCTGCTTTGTGCAGGATGGCAGCTTCAGTGCTGCTGAAGCGAGAAGGAAGAGGAATTTAGTGGAAGCGGCAGGAAAATGTTCTTAATTAACCCTAGAAGTGGTCCGTGCGAGTATCCCCTCACACGTGATCGGTAATAGTGCTTTGATTTTGATCAGCTCACCACTCCCGTTGGTGCTTTCTGTCACGTGATTTGCAACAACATTCGCAAAGAATATGAGAGGATTATCCTCAACTTTCGCTTATTTTTTGATTATACATATAATAAAACATGTAGTGATCGAGTGCCTACGGACTTCACAGTTAATAATGTGTTCTGGAATGGCAGCTTTGCTCATCGAATCAGGAACCTTAGGCACATGGCGATAGATTATGCCTATGAACATTTTGCTCCTGATCTCCGTGATAGTCAGTTCTGGCAAGGTCCTCCTTAGATTATCAATTGTAATATTCTTTTTGAAGCCAGCATCGCTCTCAATCACCATGAGCTTTAGCAATTAGCCCCATGAAACGTCAAGCTCCTCGGCTCCCCACTGATGCAAGTGGATGACACGCTAAATGTTCATTATCATTATTATTCACTGCCTCGACCTGCGCTCTAGCCAGTTTGAGTTTTAATAATGTCACGTGATGTAACCTTCTAAACCCAATGTAGGTTAGCATATATAGAACACCTGCTGCCACCTACACCTACAGTGACATACGGATGTAGATTATGTAGAGTACTTGATGACACTGATACTTACATCGTTCTCTGCACGGCCAAATCGTTCCTTGCAACGTGCCATGGCGTCCTCATCGAACAAAACCCCTCCTCCGGGATGGAATCCGTCCATCGAACCTAAAGCAGATGCAAGGTAAGTTGAATACTCATCGTTTTCATCTTTGACTGGCTAACGACGATCTTGATCTACAAAAGAGACCTCGATGGCTACATTGCTGCCTTGCGTGAAAAGATTGCCGAGGGATATTTTGTCGAAGCCTACCAATCACAGTTGGATTCCTATCTTGCCCTCAAGGCATCACTTCCGTAAGACAGACTTCTTCTGTTGTTCTCTTCGTCTCTTCGTTCTCTTTCTTCTTCTTCTGTTCTTTCTGT